AATATATATATATATATATATATATATATATATATATATATATATATTAGGATATTATTGAAACTTTTGAAATTTTAGGTATATTTTGTATATTTTTTAATTCTAGTTTTTGTTCGATCCAAGAATTAACAAAGTATGTTAGCATTCTTAGTTTCCATTAAATGACTTAAAAAAGATAATATGAAGGAAGATAAAAATATTTTTTAAGTTGAGATCCAACTTTTTTTTTATTATTATTATTTTAGAAATTGAACCTACGAATTCACTAAACTAGGCTCGGATTCACAAATTGAGATGAACTTGATGCGATATAATCATAAAACTATTAGACAAATTAAATGAACACGTCACGTCAATATTTTCGTGATGATGTTAATAGATAGTAACAATAACGTGAATTATAATAGTCCTAAAATCAAATATCTCTTATATTATTTCATTATTATTTTTCTTTTCATGAAAGTTCATTAAAAAGGAAATAAGAGTATTATAGTTTATAGATACAAGTTCCAACTATGAATGATTCACATAATAAGAACAAAAAGGAATAAGAATTTGGAAAATCATTCCAATAGGGTGTCCAGAAACTCACTAATCGTAGTGTGCTTGAGTTGTGGATATAATTTTGAACCATCAACACCATTTGATGATGCCTCAATATCAAAGTACGTCTGATCTCCCTTTATAAATGCAGAATATATGAAAATGAGCTGCATGTTGTCAGGGTAAGGAGTCTCTGCAATCACAGTAAAGAATCAGAACAACAATTAGTGGAACATCATCATGCAGCTATATGTTTGAATATCCAAATGATTGACCATTCAATTCTACCATCTCTCGTCGATGGGAGAGAATGAAGCATCCTTTATACGGGTTTGGAAACCTCTTACTAGCAAACATGTTTTAAAAATCTTGGAGGGAATCCCGAATGAGAAAATCCAAAAGAGACAATATCGGCTAGCGATGGGCTTGGGCCGTTACACAAATAGTTCCAGGGTGCTAAAAGAGCAAATATCAGGATTATCTATCAGCCTCTAAAGCTTTTAACTCGCCTTGAAGAATTTGTAAGCGATACTTGGCCCATCCAATTGGTCTATATAGCCTAGAGTTAAATGGTTGAGCAAGATTTCACTGAGATAAAATGAAAGAAAACACAGGGAATACAAAAAAAAAAAAAAAACGAAGGTTGAAATTTTAGCATTTCACACCTACTAGCTGTGAGATCCCACATCGGTTGGAGAGAGGAACAAGTGCCAACGAGGACGCTGGATCCCGAAGGTAGGTGGATTGTGAGATCCCACATCAATTGGAGAGGGAAACAAGTACCAGCGACGGTAGGGGTGGATTGGGGGCCCCACATCGATTGAAGAAGGGAATGAGTACCAGCGAGGATGTTGGGCACCGAAGGGGGTGGATTGTGAGATTCCATATCGGTTGGAAAGGAGTACGAAACATTCTTTATAAGGGTGTGGAAACCTCTCCTAGTAGATGTGTTTTAAAAACCTTGAGGGAGAGCTCAAAGAGGACAATATCTCCTAGCGGTGAGCTTGAGCTGTTACAAGCAAGGAAGTTGGGCCCTGAAGGGGGTGGATTGTGAGATCCCACATTGGTTGAGAAGGAGAACAAAACATTTTTTACAAGGGTATAGAAACTTCTCCTTAGCAGACACGTTTTAAAACCTTGAGGGAAAGCCTAAAAATGACAATATCTGCTAGCGGTGGACTTGGGTCGTTACATAATCCTTCAGCTGCAAATTGGGTCATGAGTAACGAATCACTGCATTTAAGAAACTTATATTTATTCCAAGTCATCGTTACATTCAGTTTACATACATCATTCATGAGTATAGCCAAGAACAGAAGTTTATGGTCGTAAACAAAATTTCACAATTCAAGGTTCATTTGAAATGAAATTTCAGTACCTTCAATTTTCTTCAGCAGCTCCTCTTCTGATACATAATTCTTCTCAAGCTTCTTCCCAATTTTACACTCCCAAATCTCAACCAGTTCATTCAAGGAATAAACATTCCCTTCGGGCCTTAGATAAACTACCTTGTTCAATGTGCGTGGATCATCCAACGAACTGATTGTGAAGTCAGCAACATCACTGACCTTCACAAATACACCTGCAGTATGATCATAAATCATCAATTAATTGTTATTTTCTCGACATCAAGGATTAAATTTATTAACATCCAAAAGAAATCAATGTGTAATCTTCAGTTTTTTGTAGACAAACCTTTGGTATTGCCATCACCAAATATTGTCACCTTATCCCTTGGAGGAATTTTCATGCCTGGTTGAACAAGGGAAGGAAGTAAATAACTCATGAAAAAATTGCAAGAAATTATGGTATACGGAATGCCTTCAGCTTCTACCAGCCGACGAATTTCAGCTTTGCGGGCATAGAAGTCATAGTCCATGTTTGATATTTGAACCTTATCAGGATCAAGTCCAAATTCTGATGGAATAAACCTCTGCAGCGTAAACAAACAAACAACCATAAATTGAAGATCATATTCATGGAATATGATTTTACTAGAAGCACATAAAATCCATTACATTGATCTACAACCTCAACAAACAGATTGACACAATTTTTTTCCTAGAGTACGAGGTTCAATGCCGTGAGCCAGATGAGATTTCAGTTTCCTTTCCGATTTTGTTTATTTGGCGGAGCAACTCTGAAATAGTATCTAGCAGAAATGTGCCGGAATTACATGGACCAAATCAAATCAATCAATACTTACTTACCTTAATGGATCCATTTTGTTTGATGATTTGAATCAGAAGTTTCTGGTCCAACGCCTGTTTAGACGAAACAGCACAAATGACCACATCGACTTGATTAACAGCTTCCATTAGGCTAGCTTCGTCATCCAGAGAACCCTAACATTTAAAAACACTCAAAATCAGTGTCGTCTCCAGCAAGAAAAAACTGCAGAACAATAACTATATACATAGTTCAAGAATGAGAGGAAGAGAGAAACCTTGAGGAATTGAACTCCGGCATCGGAGAGAGCTCGGAGCTTGTCTAGTTTAGTAGATGAAGAGGAGGTAGAATCTCTTATTAGAGCAAACGTAGGGTGAGAAAAATTGCAGCTGGCTTGAGCCAAATGGAACCCTAGGAAACCTGTTGCTCCTATGATCAGAACCTTGCTCTTCTCCTCCATTTTCGAGTTGAATCGGAGAAATATGGAAACCTCCACCGCCGACGAAAAGCAAATTCACAGAGAATTTGGCATTGATGCTTAAATTTCTCCTCGCCGGCAAGAGGTTTTTTTGACCGAATATTGTAAAAGTAAATGAGAAAGGCGCCCAAAAATCGGATAAGCTGAAATACGAA